TAGAAGATTTTTGCCATTGACTACAATGGCCCCATAGGATATAATGGAGTCAATTTTTTCAGTATTCCCAAATATTTCAGGATACCAATACATTACTGGTATTGGTATTTGGGTATATTCGGGAATACAAAAAAAATTCAGCTTCATTATTTAATTCCATTAAAATCTGGAAAAAGCAAAAAAAAAATTGCTGGATTCCCCCCCCCCCTGCACACCTCTAGTGCTGCTCTATACAAGATATTTCTTCCAATGAAGAGGTAGGTAGAAGAGCTCCAGCTTGTGCTTGCTACTGAAATATTCGCTGTGTCATAATTTATTTCATGGAGAACATTCTGTCATGTGAACCTCCAACTACAGTCAGAAATGACACAGTCTACAAATGAGTTTTATCAGCTGTGTAAATAAGGCCAAAGTATCCCCTATATCAGTTTGTTTCAAATATTACTTTCTTCAAAAGAATTAAAGATGAAAATTCAGAGAACCTGTTACACATATTGTTACAGCATTATATCAGTGTAACCATATACAACTGTTAATTAAAAATCCCCAGTGGCCCTGGTGAAGAGATACAGCCACTGCTTGTGGACTGGGGCAGGGAAACTGCAGGAAAAACTGCTCTGTTGCCACTGCACTGTATCAGCAGCTGCATTAACAGTAGGGAAGCCACAAAAGCCTGTACTCACCACTAAGCCAAATATACATGTGCTGGAATAATGTTCAAACTTGACTATTTCTGAATGGTAATAGTTAATAGTAACTATATTCACAAATGGTAAACTTTTGTCTCTGGTTTAATATCCAAATACACGTCTTTATTCAAATGTAGCTCCTGCTGTCATGAGTCTCCAGCCAGCCCCAGCCACACTGGCCCACCCACCACTGTGGCAAGTACCTAGCCAGACCCAGCAACGCTGGAGCAGCTATAACCACAGTGAAACTCTATTGGGGAGGTGTGCTGGGAACAAGCTAGGTACAGGGCTGGTTTTGCCTCCCAGTCTGCCTCTGCTGAAGAGTGTTACTGTCTGTATGATAATATGCCTGTTTGCAGCCCCAGCGCATAGGGGAGAGGAGGGCAGTGAAGGCAAAGGATTCCTCCTATGGCAACCCCTAATAAAACACAATCACTCTCATCTTTTGGAATAAAATGGCCATGACTTTATTGGTTACAGCTGAAAGAAGCCTTGGTACAGCATGGGATGGCTGGATCCTGGCATTGACTGACCTGCCTGCCAGTTGATGTACCCCAGCCCATCCCAGCCTGCCTGCTGGCATGGGGGTAAACCATGGGATAGCAGGATGTCAGATTCCACAAGGACAATTGCCAATAAGTGGTCTCTCCTGCCACTTGAGAATGAGGGTAACCCATTGGCAGACCTCAAGCTGGGCATGCCCCTTGTAAGCCCTTACCCCAAGATCCCTTAAGGGCAGGGCCGTAGCTAAAGCCTTCCTGGAAAACGAGCATGCAGGCCGGTTTCCCTAAAGTGGATCCAGCCCCATGCTGATCCCACCACAAGAGCCAGGCATCCTCCTGCCTGACTCCTGCCAATGCTCCTATAGCTGTAGTGAAGTCCACAGGCCATACCTAACCCCATGCAGCCAGATGTCCATCCCCCGTGGAGACAAGTGAATGCCCCTGCTGAAGAGTGTTACTGTGTGTGTCATAATATGCCTGTTTATAAATATACAGGTTGAGCAGCTATTATGCTGTAGACAAAACCTGAGTCACATAGGGCTGTCAGGCCTAATTGCCTGCTGCCACTCCAAGCCTAATTGCCTTTTGCAACTTTTAAAAATCACAGCAACATCGACTGTGTTGCTATGTCACTTGCAAGGAAACTTGGAAGTGACATAGAGTAGCTCTAGGAATCGCTGGAAACTCTATGTTAAAACCATAGCATTAACAGCAGTTGCTAGAGCTAGCATATGTAACTTCTGGGTTTTTCTCAGAAGTGACATAGCAACACAGCCAACGTTGTCCCCAATGTCCTCACCCCCAAACTCTCCCACCAACCCTAGATTCACAGCTAGATCAGACCAGTATCCCAAAATCCAGAACTCATTCTGTGTTTCCTGCTCCCCTGATACAAGGTCTGAACAAATTAGTTCCAGTGGTTACCTCTAACTCTACAGGAATCTAGGAATGTCCTCAGATGATTTTAGATGAAGAACAACCTAAAAGTTAATTTAGTAAGTGTTCATGGTTTACCATAGATTACACTAGGCTATACAAAAATCTAGAGAGAAAACTTTTTTTTTTGGCTGAACTGATCCTGAACATAACAGGATCTGAAAAAGAGGGAAAAACATTCTGCATATGAAAACTAAGATCCCATTCCAGAAAAGATTAATGAAGCTTAAATTCCTTTAAAATCAATGGGATTTTTGATAGTCACCGCTTCTGAAACGTTTGAATTTTCATTCCAGAGTTCTCAGAGATATTGTGTTATTGGGAATAAAATTCTCAGCAAATAGATATATTGCACTCTTGGAATTAAAATTCTAAACTAGGAAGAGAGACGTAATTTATTATGTCATGTATCAGCCTTCAGTAGAGGAGCTAACAAATTATCCTGCTCCTTTTAAGGCGTGCCAATTTGCCTCTGGAACTACTGCAATTATCTATTTCCTGATGTGTATATTAGGGTCAAAATACATACTCACATAGCCATTCATACATTACCGCAAATTCTTTTGGTACATCTGATTGCCACACTTTTGATTAGTGGGTCTGGATGGTTTGGATTCTTGTTCGTGTTAGACATATCCATGAAAATCAGTGAGAACCTGCTGACTATTGTGATGTGCGTCTATATCAAATGAATCAGGGCATTTCTTTATTTACATACTTCATTTATACTCTGTCTTTCTCCCCAATAGAGAGCCAAAATGACTTTCATCATTCTCCTCTTCTTCCTTTTATTCTCACAACAACCCTGTGTAGGGTTGCCACTTCTCCTACTATGATGCCGGCAACCCCTGCTAGCAACTGCCACTCTGTCAGCTGGCAGGAGAAAAATGAAGATGAAATTGCCGACTGTGCAATGGCGTTAATGGGGAAAACCCAGAAGTGACATTATGCCTCTCTAGAAACATCTTACCATAGAGTCTCCAGCTATTTATAGAGAATCAGACATCATTTCCAGTTTTTTCCACAAAGAAACATATCACTATTACAAATGTCCCTGACCCCCCACATATAAACTTGTCCCTGACCCTGACCCCCCTGACCAGCTGGCAACCCTACCTGTGAGATACATTGGGCTGAGAATGCATAACTGGCCCAAGGTTACCTGACAAACCGCCATGGCAGAGTAGGGATTTGAATTTGGGTCTCCCACATCCTAGTCTGACACTCAAAGCACTATACCACACTAGCTTTAAGTTTCTTCACAGTGTATTTTTTTATTAGAGATGAAGCATGAATATTGAGGTGTGCAAACTGTCTTTTTCCTGTTGCTTATTATATCCACTGTCATCCTATTATTATTTAGGCATAGGCAGTACCGTACTATGTTGTAAAATACGTACAATACATGGCATCAGGCCATGACAAATTTTCTTTGGCTTTAAGAACCAATCCAAAAATGTATACGCCAGTCTCTCAGCCTTCAAGGTTTTATATTTTAATTACCATATTATTTATTTATATATTTATTTATTTAGTATTATTGCCACCACAAAACCTAATCCTAAACTCTTCATGGATTCTTATTAGTGTATTAAGCTATAACAAAAGTGCTGTAGTGCAGGGGAGGGCAGACTTTATGTTTTTCAGAGATGCTTAATTTTTTTCAAGGGTTTTGGAACTTTGTTGTTGTTGTTCAGTCGCACAGTCGAGTCCGACTCTTCGCGACCCCATGGATCATCTCCCGTCAGGCCCTCCTGTCTTCCGCCGTCCTCTGAAGTTGGCTCAATTTCGTGTTCGTTGCATCAATGACACTGTCTAACCATCTCATCCTTTGCCGTCCCCGTCTTCTTTGACCTTCGATCAAACTACCATGCACAAATAGAAAGCTCAGTGGGTGGAGGCAGTCTCAAAATGGCAGCCTGTACCAAAATTAGAGTTTTTCAGAGCAGGTCTGCAGTGCTCAGGTGGTGAAACCTTTTCTCTGCTTTTCCCCAAAACAAATCACTAGCACCATTGTAAGTTGACCTATGGGGCAGAGGGAACATACATTTAGCTCAGTGTAATAACAGTGTTGATACAGGAGGGAAAAAGCCAATAGCATGATCCTTTTTTATCCAGAGCATGGGGGGTGGGTGTTTGTGTGTGTGTGAATGTGCATAAAAGAGGAAGGGGACAGGTGGAGGATGAGTGTGCTAATTCTGTCATTTCCCTATCCAGACCAAAGGGGTGTGTGTGCATTAAAGATAAAGAAATCTTTGTGTGATAATTTTTAAAGGGAAGGATAAGGAAGTGATTACAGCAGCACTGGAGGAAGAAAAGAGATACTTGGAAGTGCTTGGAGACTGGTGTCTCCCAAGTGACCTTCTCCCCCTCCCATGTTGTAGTGTATAAATAAATATGGAGTAAGTCTGGCATCATCACAATAAAAACGTAACATCTAACCCTAATTCTCATAATTTCATCATTGCTTTAAAAAGCTACATTTACTTGAAAATTTGAGCCATATAGAAAACAACCAGTTAAGAAATGAATTGATCTACCACCATTGAATGTCGTGAAGTTAATGTATACATTGTGAAGTTAACATATAAACAATGACAAGTATTTCATTTGCAGGCATTTTTATATCATACGATAAAACGTATTCTTATGTGAAATGATAAATAAGCTTTGTATTTCTTAGGATCATTAATAAAATAATGGCTAAAAATACTGGGTGCCACAATGAAATTATTAGGTACCATGGTACCCTAACATCTGGGATTTGTCAAGCCCTGTACCACAGGTCACACAGGTAGTACATAATGTTGAGGAAATAAAGTCATAGCTTTTTACAAAAATTGTCACACTTACCAGAAATATTTATTTGTAGACTGGTCTGGACAATGCAATGGAAGAAAACTTGCGTTTAGCTCAAGAATATCAAATGCTCCAGATATGCTATCTAAATAGCAAGGACAAGCTTATGGACCTTTGCAACAATAAAGTCAGGGCTGAAGGAGCATTAAGAGATAAACAGCAGGTAAAGTAGCATATATGTTCGATTCCCCAATTATTTAGTTCTTAAAATCTATTTGGTAATTATTACTAATTAATTTACTGTTTTTATTTATTTTTATTTATTTATTTATTATTCGACTTCTATACCGCTCAGACCCGAAGGTCTCAGAGTGGTTTACAATTTTTGTTGCAAGTGCAAATGTTCCTAATACTATGGCCACATTGATTCAGGGGTGGGGTTTTCCTACCAGCACCCGGGTGGGTTCGCTGCTCGCGGCTTAGAACTCAGTCATGAAGTACATGGATAACTTGAATTTCTTTTATGTATTACTTCATTGTATTGCATGAGCACTTTGTGTTGCTTTTTACTTTCACAAAGCTACTATTATTTTTCATTATTCTTGGTCTTACATGGGTTTTATTTCTTTATTATTATAGTCATTTATTTCAATGGGAAACAGGGTGTGCCAAAAAAAAAAGTTGGTATTTTTCAGCTTCGGGTATATCAGACCCGAAAAATATTGGTAAATGCCAAATATCCCCAGTCCAATACTGGTAAAGTATCAGGACTGGAGAAATATTCGGTATTGCCGAATATATATTTGGGTCTGATATACATGACAGGAGGGAAGGGAGGCATGTAAAAATGCTTTCTTTCCCTCTGGAAGCAGTTCAGCTGGAATATCTACAGCAACTGAAGTTCAGCTTTCCTTGTTAATTTCACTCCCCGCCAGTCAGCTGTTGGGTTTAAGCCATTTAAACTAAACAGCAGACCAGCCAGGGGAGTGAAACTGACAAGGCAAAGCCTCCTCCCTCTGCCTTCCCTTCTCTAGCTGACCCGGGGTAGCTGGAGAAGGGAAGGCAAGGAGCCCAGGCATGTTTCTGTGCCTGCCCTTTGCTTCCCTAGCACCCCTCACTGTGGGTTCGCTGGGGAAGCCAAGGGCAGGCATGGAAACATGCCTCCTTTTCTTCCTGAGCCTCTCCACTACTGTGGAGACGCTCAAGGAGGGACGGGGGGTGGGGAAAGAAGGCAGGTTTAAATGCCAATCTTAGGGAAGGAAAGAAAGGCACTTAAACATGCCTGGGATCCCTGCAGGGCAACTGGAGAGGGACAGGTAAGGAGCCCAGGCATGTTTCCATGCCTGCCCCTCGCTTCCCCAGCTCCCCCATCACAGCTGGAGGGCTGGGAAAGCGAGGGGCAGGCATGGAAACATGGCTCCTCTCCTTTCTCTCCCTGAGCCTCTACGCTGTGACAGAGAAGCTCTGGGAGAGAAGAGGGGGGGAAAGAAGGCAGCTTTAAATTCTTTTCTTTCCCTCCCCGAGATTGGGCATTTAAACATGACTGGGATCCCTGCCTGTCCTTCTCCAGGGGCCCCACAGCCTGCCCCTCACTTCCCCATCCCCCCCCGCCACAGCAGAGAGGCTCTGGGGCTCCCCCTTCCTATGTGCTTGTCTCCATTTCCCCTCCCTAGTCTGTAGTGCTATATATACCAGCATATATGAGCAAAATGTTTGGATCTGCCAGGGTAACAGAAGTGCTGCCTGTCATTGGGGGGCAGGGGGATTTGCCTCCATCACCTAGTCTCAAATCTGTAGGTCTGCTTGTATGCCAGCACGTGCAATCAAAATGTTTACTCCCTGACTAATGGGTGCAGCCTCATAGAAAACAGAATGGAAAGCAAAAAATTAGACCCTACTGCTTCTACAGAATCAAATTAAATCTATCCCTTCAGCAATGTGGCGGGTTTAAACATAACTTTTAAAATATAAATCCATCAGATTAATTTTCTACAGTAGCAAAATTTGTGTGTGACTCTGCTGATTGGTAAACGTGCCTGTCAGTTACATATTGCCATATTGCCTTTCTTACTTCCTTTAATTGTAAAGTAGGAACTGGAATAGCTGTCATATCCAGATGTCTTTAAATACCTTTAATGTGATTTTTATTTTAAATTCATGTTATCAGTATTTTTAAAGTGTTTTCAGTTTGTTTTTATTAATTTCCAAACGCACATCTCTGAGTAAAAGGGCTGTCCTGTTATCAGCAGTGGCACACTGCTATTGTTCACTGCTCATAAAACAAGTACTAGTTGGAACAGCAGAGCAAAAGTGTTAGATAATGGAAGGATTAAGTTCTCTCTCCTGTTTACCACTTCTCCACTATAAATTACATCTCTTAAACACACCTTTTGTGCTATGACCCAGCTTCATGTTCCCAGATCTGATGTCAAATGTATTCCTTAATCTGGTTAGATGTGGATTACAGAATGAATAGCTTTGAAATGATGAATAGCTTTGAAATGATCTGCTGATTACTCTGCAATATATTCATTTTTTAAAATCTAATTTATGAACTTGGGGATTTCAAAACAGTCTTATGATGCAGCAGGAGGAAAATGAAATGAAAATTGTAGAAAATGTTACATTGTAGAAGCGTATGTAAGTATGTTCCGAAAAGGATTCCTTATATCACAATTTCCTTTGATTTTTTTAGGGATTACTTCTTATAATGTGCCTAGGATGCCAAGGGCTGCCAAAGCTTTTAATAAGATTAGATTGCATGTGGATATCACCACTGCATAACTGCAAAAATCAATGAAAATTGATCAGCAAAGGAAGTAAAGATGTAACAGGCCAGCAATATGAACTCCATCTAAATAGGAGTTTTGCTAAAATTATCCTTTATGTTTACAACCCTATAGATAGTTAGAAGATGATGCTGTATCACATGTTGCTTAGTCCATCATTCTGTGTCATCTGGTCACAGAACTATAATAAGTGCTTGGAATGATGATGAGTTTTGAAAAACTAATCCAGGAATTTAAGGAAATATCTGTATTTATGTATGCTTTACTAATATTTACAGAGGATATGTAAACAAAGAGAGTATAGTTCTACAAGGATCTAAACTGGAAAATGTAGCTGAGATATTCTTTTGGTAACTCAGCCCATTATAAATACAAACTCAGCACATAAAAATATTTGTACTAATTACAATAGAACAAGAAAAGGTTGGTTATGTACTGCTCCTATTAAAAGGTGTATTTTTCTACAGATTTTTACTAATAAGTGACTTACAACTGCAACAGAAAATCAATTTTGTGGGAGTAACACTGTAATGATTTTTGTAGTTGCTGTACTGCACATATACATCATGGTGACATGAATGTTCAAGAAGAAAATCACTCTCATGTTCACCCTTTCCCAAGTACACAGAGTGTTTTTCCCCCTGAAAAAGAGATGGTCAAAATTAGCTTCTATTGTTGTTTTGTAGAATCAAGACTTGAGTTTTAAACTAGGTGGACAGATTTCTCACAGTTTGTGCTCAGCTGTAGTACAAAACTCTTTTGTATTCTCAGTAAATTGATATAAGATTAATCTGGTGGATTCATTTTTCACAGTAAGCACAGACGTTCTTTTACATAGGTCATTTTATTGTGACTTTGCATTGTGGAAATCAAAGCAGGAGCATTATGTTTGTCATCCTCCTTGGTTCAGCCACTGGGCAAGAGAGAGTTCTTGCTTTACTGCAGCGCTGCAGCTTTTGGCAGATTCTAGTTACATAATGCTGTTGGCCCATTTTCATAACTGGTACATGACATGGCATAGAAGAAACTGCCTCCTGCCTTCTTACTCCAATATAGAAATGGAGGAACAGGTTTATAGGTTGCAGTTAGTGTGGTAGCAGATTCATAATGAAAGAAAGTAGATGAAAATCTGGATGAAAGGAAGCAAGATGTAGATCAGGCTGTGAACAGAGTGAGGCAAAGAGGAATGGTAAGACAGGAACTGTCAGCTATGCTGCCATGCTGGTTCAGGAGGCCATAGGCTTCCCTTTTCTGTGTACTAATTATTGCTGCATTCCTTCTGTGCTTCTTCTCTGCTGTAACGCTGTTATAAGAGGTGCAGGTGGTGTAGTGTCTGGAGCTCAGGGAAGGCCGTGGGAGCTCTATCGGTTCCCAGCTCTGGCTCTAACGGTTTGGAGCTATTCTCCCGCGCGTGGGAGTCCGGCTAATTGGCTTAGGGATGGTGTGTGTGTGTGCATACGGATGCCCTATATCTCATTATGCTTGTAGAGGTGACGCCATTCTTAACAGTGCTTCTGTTAATGCATCTATAGCTCTTCAATAAAGTATAACCTTTCTGATAAGCATGTACTCCGTTGCTGGCTGTGGAACCTGACAGGAATCCATTGATACTGGAGAAAGGACTACTAATACAGTTCTGATATAAATTATTACATCAGTTCTGATAGCATTCTGGCACATACTTTATATGAATTTCACAATATTTTGTTTGCTTTCTCCTCTCTAGTATTTTCAGAGTGGTAGACTTACTATAGGGTCAATTCATGCTGAATAGTTATTAGAAACCATGATAACAAAAGTCATTACACTGCAGTTCAGTTTTGATAGTAAAATTTCTGCAACATTATCACAAATCCTCATGCATTAGTGCAATGATCCTTACTATAGTTTCATATTAGAATCAAAAGACTGTGCTGGCATACTTGGCAAAAAAAAAAAAAAATCTTGCGAGAGACCCTTTCCAGCTTTTGCATATAACACAGTTCTGTTCCTTTTCCACTTCATTCTTATTCAAAACTCCCATTTTTAAATCATAGCCATTTTCAGTATCTTCTCCTGTTAACTAACATTTGGTTGCGCGTAGCAGTCCATTCAGAAAATACAGCTATATCTGACCATGCTGTGTATTGTGTCTACTTTGGGGTGTTATCAGCGTTGAAGCTATGCTACTATCACATCTTATACAACCACTTAGTGTAAATGTATGCCAATTAAATGTTATTTTTAATGCTGGATATATTTCTTTCATAGATATTAGTGCACAAGACCTTCACAATTCCCTTCCAACAAAGAAATGTCCATATTCAATTGACTATTTTATTTATTTACTTCATAGTCCACCTTTCTCATTATGACTCAGTGCATATAAAATTTAGAGCAATAGCAACAGTAGAAGACATATACTAAGCATTATAAGAAGACTGGGTTTCAAAGT